CTCTATTGCAGCTTTCCTAAACCTGGGAACTTTTAAGATGTGTGAACTTCAATCCCAAAAATTCCAAGCCGGCTGACTGGGGAATTCTGGGAATTGAAGTCCACACATCTTAAAGTTGCCAAGTTTGAGAAACACTGCTTTATTGTGAAAGGCCAGCATAGCAAAAACCCAGGTCTGCTAACGTGGGACAGGTGCAGAGCACTTCTGGCCGCGTTCAGGTATGAATACCCAGCATGGCCCCTTGGGAGTTAACCTCCTCCTCTGCCTAATTTTGCCTAGTAGGGGGATTAAAAGACATCCGCTCGCATCCTCCAAGTGGGCGGTGTAACGTGAGGATTGCGTTTCAGGCAAATCCCCGTCCAAACTTGGGGGGGGGGCAAGGATGAGTCAACATTTGCAGGATTTCTATGCCAAGGAGTTGCGTTCGAACTGGGGGCTATGTGTCGGAAGCTGAAATTCACATTACTTACATATGCAGAGAGAGAAAGAGAAAGAGAGTTTGGTGTAAGGGAGACCAGAGGGTTTAGTTCCGCCTTAGGCACGAAGCCAGATGGGTGTCTTTGGGCCAGTCACACCTTCTCTGCCCTAGGAAGAAGGCAAGGGCAAACCACTCCCAAAAGATGTTGCCAAGAAAACTGCGTGGATTTCTCCGTAGTTTCCAGGACTGACTCCAGGACACAAATATGTACGTATGTGTGTGTGAATATAAATAAATAATCACACATAAATAAATAATCACACACAAATAATCGCTGCCCGGTCCTGTTGAGCCATTGTCTTTCAAGGGGCTTCCTTGGACCGCTCCCACCCTGCCGGGGATGACGGAGCGCCTCCCCCCCCCCCCCCCCCCCCCCGCGAGCCGGTCAGAGGGCAGAGATTGCCGAGCCCCAGGTAAACAGGCTGAGAGGGGGCGGCAATGCCAGGCGTATTTTCAGTTAATAGGGAGAGAAAATGAGGTGTCTGAAGCGATATTGGAAAGTACAAGATCGATGATCCGCCCTGTGTCCAATCAGCAGCCTTTAATTGACTGTATTTTCTAGGTAATTGAGCCACTCTGCCTCTAAATTGAAGTGGAAGATATAACAATACATCTTACTCGGAGGAATTACTCATTACTTCATAATGAAATTTTCCTTTTGCGCCTTCTTTCGCCTTTTGAAAAAAAAACCCCTCCAAGCTGCTG